CGATCTCACATTTATAATCAACGAAGCTCTCTACACTGCGCAATGAATCTCTCACTTTGCTTATGAAAGGATTCGTGAGATATGTCTGTGATACATTACTCAACGCTGCAAAAACACGTAGAAACCTTTGAAGCTCCCCTCAGCGATCACAATCACAAGTATGATGAAGATTTGGTCAGTCGCACTGGTGCTCCTAAAAAAATGTTTATAGTCGCACGCAGTAGTTTTCAGTCGCATTTGCGACTGAAATGGTCGCACTGTAGAGCCCTGGATCCGCCATTTTAAGCAATGAATGAATGACGGACTCTCCGTTGTAACATCGCGCAAGGCAAATAAGGGGGTGACATCTAGTGGATTAGACTAGTAATAAGATTAACGTAAATCTTATCATGTTTGCGGAAATAAATATTGAAAAAAATCGATTCGTGGCCTTTGAGAATCGATATTGAATCGACCACATTTTTAAAAAACGATATATCGAAAAATCAATTTTTTTTTGCCCAGCCCTAGTTGTAATGTGGGAAGATCAGTTGTTTGGAATATTTTCTCATATTGATTTTTTTTTTCCATCTACAGAACCGGGACAACTATATTCGATCCTGTAAGCTATTGCCTGATGGCCGCACTCTTATCGTCGGAGGGGAGGCCAGCACACTGACCATTTGGGATCTTGCCTCCCAGACACCCCGCATCAAAGCCGAGCTGACCTCCTCCGCACCGGCCTGCTACGCACTGGCCATCAGCCCCGATGCCAAGGTGTGCTTCTCCTGCTGCAGCGATGGAAACATTGCCGTTTGGGACCTCCACAACCAGACCCTCGTCAGGTGGGCCTTTTTCAGGATTTTCTCTCATGAACTGGATTTTCTTGTATACCTTTAAGATTTAAAACAAGGCCATTCTCTAAACCCTTTATTTTTTGTGATTTGCAGGCAATTCCAAGGCCACACAGATGGTGCCAGCTGCATTGACATCTCTCATGATGGCACCAAGCTCTGGACGGGTGGTCTTGACAACACAGTCCGCTCCTGGGACCTGAGAGAGGGACGGCAACTCCAGCAGCATGACTTCACATCTCAGGTTAGGCCACAGCACAATGACTTCTCATAATGGGGTTTTAGGAATGCAAGTGGCGACAGATCTCTTCTTGTGTATTGTGGCCTACATCTGAGTTGTTCGATTATTGAAAAAAAAAAAAAAATGTAGGGACCAGTTGTTGCTTGGAGTTTAGGATTTGGGCGTTGCATTCAAAAATGGAGGCAGATGAACGTGAGGGGCGGGGTTTATGATGATGTAATGATCTGAGAAATCTTGCATACATCACCAGAGAAAAGTTTGTTGGTTTTACCAAAAGATCCGGTTATGAAATTTTGATTAAAAATATTGACAATTTTTTTTAATGAAACATACATGGATGATTCATTCACAATAAGATATAAAACATGCATTCAGAAAATATATGGGGAAGTTTCTTTTCATGCTGACTTGAGTGCAAAGCAGTGGTGCTCAACTTGTGTCTATTCCCCCAAACGCAGATCTTCTCCCTGGGCTACTGTCCTACGGGCGAGTGGCTGGCTGTCGGCATGGAAAGCAGCAATGTGGAGGTGCTCCACCACACCAAACCTGACAAGTACCAGCTGCACCTTCACGAGAGCTGCGTTCTCTCTCTCAAGTTTGCCTACTGTGGTAAGTAACTGATTCAAGCTTCACGCATTGAATGCGGGCACTCTATCTCCACTAGTGCTTTTGCACTCTCTTGAAGTTATACGCCGGAGCTTCTATACAGCACAACATCCGACAGAACCTTAACTGTCCTTTTCTGCTAGGCTGTCTTTTATTTGGCTTTCTGTGCATATCTCCTGTACTCTGAACGGACCTCTAATTACGTTTGATTTCCCTTGACAAGGTAAATGGTTCGTGAGCACTGGGAAGGACAATCTGTTGAATGCATGGAGGACTCCCTACGGCGCCAGCATATTCCAGGTACAGAGATCAATACAGACTGTCTGCAGGAAATGTGTGGGCTGCCTGAGTCAGTAGAAAGGGCACAGTGACCGCTGGCTGACAGGCCAGGCCTCGATCAGCGGAAATGGGCTGGAGTATGTCATTAACGCTGGGTCCTGACCACTTAGTGCGGATGTGGGTCTGCGCGTGTAGTTCGCATCTACCAGTTTAAGAGTAAATAATGATAACCCTTCAAGTGTTTATGACTGAAGGGGCTCAGCATGGACGCTAATGCATCGTTAGGTGGGGGGGAGAAGTGCTTATGTATACAGCTGTCAGCATTTTCTTTGAGTAGTAGACGATGTCGGAAGAGTTTTGTGCAGGCCCTTTTGAAATTAATATTCAAATCTTTTTATTTCGCCAGATTTACTGTGGCTTTTTTCTCCTTGCAGTCAAAGGAATCATCCTCAGTCCTGAGCTGTGACATATCAGCCGATGACAAGTACATTGTTACAGGCTCTGGAGACAAGAAGGCCACGGTGTATGAAGTGATCTACTAGACTGCGAGGTAACAGACTGGAGCAGCTCAGGCCTCTGGAGGAGGAAGGGGGGACACACAACTTCTCACTCCAGTGACTCTCCTAGTCAAACAGACAGGAAAAGCCCTTGTCTGTCTGTCTGACTGTCTGTCTCACACTCACTGACTTTTAACTGACTGACCACAGATGTGGAAGAGTGGACGCTGGGGTGACATGGACTAGGACACAAATGTGCAGCCCTACAGACCCCATACACTCTGCTCAGTTCATATGGCACTAGAGAACACTCAATGTTTCCTTCCTTGCCGTTTTTGTTTTGTTTTTTGCTTCAAATCTTTCTATGTTGGATTTTGGGTCTATTTTTTTCCTCACTATGCAGTGAGAACGTTCCATAATGCATCGTGAAGCAGCGCTTCGTTCTGAAACTTCATCTGTGTGGAGGGTATGTGAAAAGTGTACATAATGGAGTATTAAAATGCCTTTTATAGATTTATATTTTGGTGTCCTGTTACACTTGTGATGGTTCTCTTTCTCTCTCTCTTGCTCTCATTCTCTCCTTGATGCTTCGTTTCCCCTTCGAGGTTTGGAAATTAGATTAAGACGTTTTTTTCTGAGGATATTCTATTTCATTTTTTCCCCCCCTTTGAGAAGTTCATTTTCCAAGCTGACCTTTTATGGAAATCTAATTTACTTTTTTTCCCTCCCTCCTGAAAAACAATTTTGAGCTAAATCACATTACAGAGGCGTTTTTGTAAAATGTCCTGTGGATTTTTTTGAGTGGCTTAAACCCCATGTAAGGCACCTGAGACTGCAGTCGAGGCTCCGCAGGGAGGGGCGGATCAGTTCCAAAGCCAACTCACTGACTGGCTGCTCCGCCTTCCTGCGAGAACAGAGACCTCATTGGATCACACGGACCTGGATTTTGATATTTACCGATTAGCAGAGGACTACTCTCAAACCTGTGATTTCATTGTGCTGTTGTATGACCAGGACATGACATCTTGTCTTGTAGTGGAAGAATTGGAATTTGGATCAATTGGTTATTTTCCCCCCTTCCTGAGTCCCAAGTGACATACACTGTGTTTTGTGTGCATAGTGTTTCATAAACAGGAAGCACAGAGTAAAATGTCTGCCGACAAACCAAACGGACTGTAACACTCTAGCCTAATGCACAGGCATTTACTTACTGTCCAGCTTGTTTATAGCATCACACTGTTAGTATTTCCCTTCCCAAAAATAAAGAGAAAAGAGCTGCAAGAAATGGACGTTTCAAAACACACACCAAAGTATGTAGCAAACTGTGTTGTCACTGAAGATATGTACAGTTGTTGATAATTCAATAAACTGTTTTTGTAAAAAATGAAATATTTAAGAATGTCTCAGTGTTGTATACTAGTCC